AATTTACTTCATAAAGTTGTACCTAATTGGATTGATCAAGATTGGTGTCATAGTGACGAACCTGGAAAACAATTGGGTGTATATAATTTTCGAGATACTGAACGCCATCCAGGTAAATTAATTATCATGCTAGTTGATTGTTACAATATTGTTTTATTATACTTATATTTCTTTTTATTTTTATAATAGGGATATTTAGATTTCATTTTTATCGGTTTGGGGTGTGGATTGAAGTAGTTGTAGATGATTATCTTCCCACAAGAAATAATCATCTAATATTTTCTCGTTCTAAAAACCCAAATGAGATGTGGTGTTCTCTTTTAGAGAAAGCTTATGCAAAACTATGTAAATGTTATGAGGCATTAGAAGCAGGATCTGCTTCAGATGCATTAGTTGATTTGACTGGAACTGTTCCTGAAACAATTGAATGAAAAGCTGATATTGATGATGATTGCCATGATGATGTTTTAAAACAAATGGGCGATAAAAAATTCATAGCAATGTTGCAACTTGCTAATAACACAGGTGCATTAATGAGTTGTTCTATTAATGCTCTTGAGGGTGAAAGAAAACAAGAAAGATTACCAAACGGATTAGTGATTGGGGTAATTTTAAATAATTTATATATATTTATTAATGTACATTTGTTTATTTTATGAGATAAATGAATGATTAATAAAATTTATCCTGTAAAATTTTACTAATTAGCATGTGTATGGAATTACAGGAATGGCAAATATAAAACCAAGTATTTTTAAAAGAAATAAAGAAATTGTTCTTATAAAATTACATAACCCATGGGGTGAAGTTGAATGGAATGGTAGATGGTCTGATAATTCATCAGAGTGGCAAAAAATTAGTATTTCAAAAAGAAATAAATTAGGTTTTAAAATAGCAGAAGATGGCGATTTTTGGATGGTAATCAATTAATTTAACATTTTTTATATTGAAAAATTTCTTCTAGTTTTTAATAAATAAATATTTATTTATTTAGTCATTTGAAGATTTTACAAAAAATTTTTCTACATTAGTAATTTGTCGTCATCTCAATACATCATGGTTTACATTAGGGAAACGTTGGTATGGTACAATATTGCATGGTAGATGGTCAATTAAGAATAAAACAGCTGGTGGATGTATAAATAACATAAATACTTTTTATGAAAATCCACAGTATTCTATATTAGTTCACAAACCAACTACTTTAGTAGTTGCTCTGATGCAAAAAGACAATGACAGTGACAGTAGTGATGATGATGATGATGATGATGATGATGACGATGATGATGATGATGATGATATTAAAATAAGAACAGAAAAGGTTACAATAGGTTTTATTTGTCTTAAAATTGAAGAGAATCGTAAATATCGAATTCATAAGTCAACATATGAAACTGTAGGCTCTGTAACTTACAAAAATGTGCGTGAAGTTACAACAAGGATGACACTTAATAGTGGACATTATGTTTTAATACCATCAACTTTTAATAATGGAAAAGAGGCATCCTATTTTCTAAGAATATTCTCTACAAGACCAATAAAAATTAGACAATTAATTAAAGATGTACCTCCCAAAAAATGGTATGATCCTATTATATATTTTGGGAAATCATATTATGTTGGAATGGTGAGAATACAAATCATTAAAGGAGATTTTAAGAGGGAAGTTAATAAAGGTTATGTTAGACTATCTTTTTTTGATCTAAAGTCTAGGGTTTCCAAATGTTATGAAACTAGACACTTTAAAAAATCATATGATCCAGAAATTAAAACTGAATATATATTTTATGTAAGAGACCCACAAACAGCAGGGTTTTTACTTCAACTATATCAATCAAGAGCATTTAAAAAAGATGAAATGTTGGGAGAGATGAGATTAGGAATAGATAATTATTCAAAAATGGATAAAATAGGTAAAACATGGGAAGTAACTAAAACAGAACAAATAAATAAAAGATAATATTGTTATTTCTAAAAAAACAATTGAAGAAAATTATTGATTATACTAAAACATTAAAACAGATTTTTTATCTTAGAATTAATGCAAAATGTAGTCTTCTGAGATTTTTGCTGAATGTGATCTAATAAAATCTAATTGAAATGCACTAAAAAAAAAATAAACAAATGTTTGAATTTTTTTTTTTAATCAAAAAAGAAATTTTAATATATATAATAAATATGATAGATTTTGGACTGAGTTTGATGTATCAAAAAAAATAATTATTGTAAATAAAAAAAAGATTTAATAACATTAATTCAACTGAAATTAATGCCATTACAAAGGTGAAATAAAATAATAATTTTTTAAATATAATTAATCATACATCTTTAACAAAACAAACATGACTTAGCTATTTAATCATTTCCTTGTATGTGAATGCCTCCATCCATCAAATATTCATGATGGTCATGATTATTATTCAATACATTTGATATCATCATTGACATAACAAACAATTGCATCACCCAGGTAGTAATGATACCAAGGCCATGCATAAATGAAACTTTTAATAATGCATGTCTACCCAGATCTCTGGGGTTCACAAAATAAATTATTTTTCCTGATTATCAATTATGGTTCCTTATGAATAATAAATCTGATGTTGATTGCAGGTGTCAGATTTAATAAAATTTTCCTGTTACAAACAAATGGTTAGGTGCTTTCACACGCCTTCATAACTGTGGAATTTTTTTCCACAAGTGAAGGCACCCATAAGTTGGAAGACTTTAGATAAAACTTCCTTTATTTCCCCTCAGACCAGGCTTGGTTGTTACCAAATAGGCATTGATGGTTGGCACTCATGTGATATTTGCTTTGTGTTGCAACCTCCAGAATTGCAACTCCTTGGTCGCAGAGCCATCCACCTTTATCCTAGAAGTAGGATTGTTATGGGAAGCTTTTCAACTAGCATGTTTATCTGGGTAATGCCAGTTCAGGTACTGTGAGGGAAGATTCACAGAAGAATGATGCAGTCTCTTGATAAACTTCAGGGCCACGTGACCCCTGGAATTTAGCTGCATCTTTGTATCATTGGGTGTTGCAAGTCAGATTAGCCTTTTGTACATGAGGAATGTGTGAGAATGACTGTAAGTGTTCAAAGTAGTGTGTGTGCTTCAACATCTATAAATTTTCAATAATCAAATGTTGCATATTCAAAATGTTTCATATTTGAAATGGTTCATATTGAATTGTTTCTTCTGCAACAGTTAGTCATGCCACCTTGATATCTTGTAATTATATAATAATATTATTATTAATATTGATTATGAAAAGCAAAATACCAATTGTATACCATCTTGATGAGATTCTTATAATTAATTACCCAGCAAGATCTGCTCTGCGTTTTGATTCCAATTAAAATATTTATAAACTAAAAAAGATAACACATTATATCAATACAAAAAAAAATTATATACCTCTCATCATTAATAAATAACAACACGCCTTTAGAAGATGACAAATGTGAATGTTGTTGTTTGGACCCTTTGTAAAAAACAAATTTTTAAAATTCAATCACATCTCAAAAAACAATTTATGTACAACATTAAGTACCAATAAAAAATTAATATTTTATATACATGTTGAATTAATAAAAATTTTTTTTAATTTTCAAAATGTCGATTGTAGAAAAACAACAAAAAAGAATAAGACAAAAAAAAAACTGAGGAAAAGCACTCGAGTAGGTGTTATTTATTAGTTATATATAATTATTAAAAAAGAATGCAACTTGTTTCTTATTAATAAATGGCCAATTTTTTTAAAAAATTTCTTTAAAAGGTCCAATGATACTTCCTCCTTAAAGAATGTCACCTCATTAATTAAGAGCATAATTGACTACAATAAAGATGCTCTGCCATTAAAACATATTATCAAACTTATAAGTGATTTATCAGATTTGTTGAATGGGTCAGATTGTTATGATGTGGAAATTAGGGTTGGAGAGGAGGATATCAAAATTTTCAAGGCTCATTCTAGTATCTTGAAAGCAAGGTCTCCTTATTTTAAGGCAGCATTATCAAATGATTGGGTAAATAAATCTGAAGATGGTGTCATTTTATTGGAGATAAAAGATATTCTCCAAAGATATTTGAAACTCTTTTAATGTAAATAATAATAATAATAATAATAATTTTTATTTATTTATTATTGATTTTTTAAATATAATATTACCATTTTTATAAAATTAAAACAAAAAATTTTTTTTCAAAAGATATGCTTATAATGGAATTGTTGACATCAATAATCTGAAACCAGATGAAATTCTTAAACTTCTTGAAACTTGTGATCGATTATGCTTTAGTGAATTGATTGAAGACTTACAAAATCATTTAATCATTGAAAAAAAAGAATGGGTTCAACAAAATTTAATTTGTGTTTTCAGGTTTTCATTAATATATCAATTATCATTTAATATGCTCTGTAATTATTGCGTTTAATTAATTTGTGGAAATCCTGGGTCAATTTTTTTTAATTCTAATAATGATGGTTATAAAGCCATTGAAGAATCAATGATTTTGTCAATGTTGGAAAGAGATGATTTAGTAGTAGGGAATGAAATTGATATCTGGAACCATGTTATTCAATGGGGAGTTAAACAAGTTGAAATATAGAAGATGAGAAAGAAGAAAAAGAAAAACAACAAGCAATTGAATCAGGACAGTTCTCACCAAAACATAAAAAATCTAAAGTGATTAAGTTAAAAGAAAATATTTCAGAATGAACTAAAGATGATATTGTGAGATTGTAAATAAGGACTGAGGAAGTCCCGAGCATGTCGATCAATCGGAACCAACTTGCTGCGGCAGCCACGTGATAATGACATCATTTTCTATTTTTATCTTAATATTTTGTGTAACAACTACGCCACATACTTAGGGATGGGGCGGTTCGGTTCGGTTCGGTTCTGGTTCCATGGAACCGGTTACAATAGAACTGAACCGAACCGAACCGTTCGAACCGGTTCTTGGAACCGGTTCCAAAATAGATGTAACACAAAATATTATTGTCAAAA